GTTGCATGGGAGTGGGAAATGATTCCTGTGAGCTGTCAGATTGTCCTCGATGGATGTATGAAAGTACTGCAGCAAGAAGAGCCACGTCATAACTCACGTGTAACTTCTGTAGTTAAATCAGGTGTGCTTGTGATCAGCAAACAACAAATTCACAGCCAGGCCTTCACTGCAGTAACTTGTCTGATGTGGAAGCATCTATTGACTTCAACCTGAAGTATCTTCTCTGTTCCCATTCAGGGCTGCTGAAAGAGGCAACTTTGAAGCTGCTGTGAAGCTGGGGATAGCGTACCTGTACAATGAAGGCTGTAAGTATGCAAGCTTTACTTGGATCCCTGAGGAAAATGGCACAATTGAAAGATACACAGATGAGCTGATGGCTTAATTATAGATACAGATCAGACTAATTGTCTCAGTTTTTACTGGTTGCCTACAAAGCTATTTCTTTTGAATACTGATGGTTCTGTGCTCAGATTCTAGAGCAGTGATGTGCAGAAGTCTGCTCTCCTCAGTGTATGTTAGGTTTCATTTGCTGTCATGCCTCTTCAGCTTTGTCTTTCAGTGTAACTTAAGAACAGGGCAGCACATAGCTAGGTGTTCAGTGATAGCCTGGCACACAGGGCTTCTGGAACTCCCAGGTGTGCCCATGCATAGCTTTTGGATTTGCACTGAGAGGTAATCTTTTGTAAACTTCCAACTGAGCTCTGCTACATCCCTGGTGTGCTGGGTGAATCAGAAGGGACTGATGGCTGACAGGAGGAGCCTCCTTGCTGAAGGTGACTTGCCCAGCACTTTGTGCAGTGCCAGGAGTTAGCAAATGAACTCTGCTTTGACTGTTGGTATTTGTAAATTTGTAAAATACTTCTCCCAGGCTTAGGATCTTATGTCCCCACAGACAAATTCTCTTTCTGCTGGGTCTGACTGTTAATAACATTTGATGTTGCAGTTTTATCAGCAAAGAGATCTTGATGATACAGGAGGCTGTATGGCTAACAGACAACACGTACAAATGTGAAGACCTGGTCAGAATGATGGTTGTGATCATCTGTGCCCTAGAAGGAAAGACCACAGAATTGTATGGGTTGGGATGGACCTCTAGAGATCATCGAGTCCAACCCCTGCCAAAGCAGGCTCCCTACAGCAGGCTGCACAGGTAGGCATCCAGGTAGATCTTGAATATCTCTAGAGAAGGAGACTCCACAACTTCTCTGGGCAGCCCGTTCCAGTGCTCCATCACCCTCACTGTGAACAAGTTCTTTGGCATATTGGTGTGGAACTTCCTGTGCTCCAGTTTATGGCCATTTCCCCTTGTCCTGTCCCCACAGACTGCTGAAAAGAGGTTGGCCATGTGCCTTTGTCTCCCACATGTGAGATATTAAGTTATTAATAAGATATTAACTAAAGATAAGGGTGAATTTGGGAAGCGGATGGGCAATTTTATCCCTGGGGCTGCAGTTGAAGTGGATCTCTTGTATAAAAAGAACAAAGTTGTATTCCCTGTGGAGACTGCACATTTAAGAGCATGCAGATACCAAACCATCTGCCTCCCTGTAGAGATTAAAACTTGAATTTCTTAAGGCACTGTCACGGAGTTGACCGGATCAATCTATGTCCGTAACATGGGCGACAGGCCTCCGCCCTCCCCCCCCCCCACCCCAGTCCCACAAAATGGGAAGGAAGGAAGGGAGGAAAAGAGCAGCAGCAACAATCTATGGAGGAAAACTTATTTTACTATAATACTGGAATACAAGATAACAAAATATATACAATTTAATTGAAATTGAGATTAATAAATCAGACAAGATGAGAGAGAGAGTTCCCGGGACCGAGTCAAACCTGAAAAGCTTGGAACGGCCAGGAAAGCACCCTCCAGCACCCACTGCAAGGCAGCAAGAGAGCGCCCCCCCCACCCGGAAGGGTCAGATCCCGTGACTGCTGTAATGTACAGGGATAGGTACTTGGAATCGGGGCAGTGACACTTCAATGCCCCATACACTACATGATGTCTTGATGTGGAATACTGAAACCATTAAAAAAAACAAAACAAACAAAAAAAAAAACAAAAAAAACCATAAAACCGTGACATTAAAAACAAAAACATAAAACCATGACATTCCACCCCTTATTCTACATCGTTACATCATGCTTAAAATATATATACATATATACAAACAAAAAAATGATTAAAATGCATTACACACACACGGCTATATACATATACATAGAATTAGTAACTGCACTCCCCCAGCATCAAGTTTCCTTGTGGTACACACTGGACATCCCCATTCTTCTGCATTACCCATCAAGTGGATCCTGGTCCCTGGGCAAAAACTGTACCACGGAGAGGTTTGCCCTTTCCAGAAGCTGGAAGAACCCAAACTGCCTTTCCTAACATGTTCTTTACATGTACAACAGGGACTTTATCTCCCTCTATGGTATGTAGGGAACTGGATTGGTTAGGACCATCACGATTGATAGATCCTCTGGTATTGACCAACCAGGTGGCTTCTGCCAAATGCTTCTCCCAGTGCTTAAATGTTCCACCACCCAGTGCTTTTAGCATCGTTTTTAACAGTCCATTGTATCGTTCAATTTTACCAGAGGCTGGTGCATGATAGGGAATATGGTAAATCCACTCAATGCCATGATCTTTGGCCCAAGTATTTACAAGAGAATTTTTGAAATGAGTCCCATTATCTGACTCAATCCTTTCTGGGGTGCCATGTCGCCACAGGACTTGTTTCTCAAGACCTAATATGGTGTTTTGGGCGGTAGCATGGGGTACTGCATATGTTTCGAGCCACCCAGTGGTTGCCTCCACCATAGTAAGCACATAATGTTTACCATTGCGAGATCGTGGCAAGGTGATATAATCAACCTGCCATGCCTCCCCATATTTATACTTTTGCCATCGCCCTTCCTCCCAGAGAGGTTTCATCCTCTTGGCTTGTTTGATGATGGCACATGTTTCACAGTTATGAATAACCTGTGCAATGGCATCCATAGTTAAGTCCACCCCTCGGTCTCTAGCCCATTTGTATGTTGCATCTCTCCCTTGATGACCTGAGGTCTCATGGGCCCACCGAGCTAGAAATAATTCACCCTTGTTCTGCCAGTCCAGGTCTATTTGAGCCACCTCAATTTTGGCAGCTCGGTCTACCTGATGATTATTTTGCTGTTCTTCAGTAGCCCGACTCTTGGGCACATGAGCATCTACATGGCGCACCTTTACAACCATATTCTTTGTTCGGGTAGCGATGTCTTTCCACAGTTCAGCAGCCCAAATAGGTTTACCCTTTCTTTGCCAGTTATTTTGGTCCCACTGCTGTAACCACCCCCATAAGGCATTTGCCACCATCCATGAGTCAGTGTAAAGATAGAGCATTGGCCACCTCTCCCGCTCAGCGACATCTAAGGCCAGTTGGACAGCCTTTACCTCTGCAAATTGGCTCGATTCTCCTTTCCCTTCGGTGGCCTCTGCAACTTGTTGTGTGGGGCTCCACACAGCAGCTTTCCATCTGCGATGCTTTCCCACAATACGACACGATCCATCTGTGAACAGGGCATATTTCTTTTCATTCTCTGGTAGTTCATTGTATGGTGGGGCCTCTTTAGCACGTGATACTTCTTCTGCTGGTGGTGTTCCAAACTTTTTACCTTCAGGCCAGTCCATGATGACCTCTAGGATTCCTGGACGGCTGAGGTTCCCCATCCGTGCTCGTTGTGTAATCAGTGCAATCCACTTGCTCCAAGTGGCATCAGTTGCATGATGGGTGGAGGGAACCTTTCCTTTAAACATCCAGTTCAGCACTGGCAGTCGAGGTGCCAGAAGGAGCTGTGTTTCAGTACCGACTACTTCGGAAGCAGCCCGAACCCCCTCATAAGCAGCTAAGATCTCCTTCTCAGTTGGAGTGTAGCGCTCTTCAGACCCCCTGTAGGCTCGACTCCAGAATCCCAGGGGTCGGCCTCGGGTCTCTCCTGAGGCTCTTTGCCACAAACTCCAAGTGGGACCGTTCTCTCCAGCAGCAGTATAGAGGATGTTCTTTATACCCTGTCCCGTCCGTACTGGCCCTAGGGCCACGGCACGGGCTATCTCCTGTTTAATCTGTTCAAAAGCCTGCTGCTGCTCAGGTCCCCATGTAAACTCATTTCTCATTCGTGTCACATAATAAAGGGGGCTTACAATGAGGCTGTAGTTTGGAACATGCATTCTCCAAAAGCCCACCGCACCCAGAAAAGATTGTGTCTCTCTTTTGCTAGTGGGTGGAGACATAGCAGTGATTTTGTCGATCACATCTGTCGGGATGTGACGACGGCCATCTTGCCACTTTATACCTAGGAACTGAATCTTCTGGGCAGGTCCTTTCACTTTGCTTCGCTTAATAGCAAAACCAGCACTCAGAAGAATTTGGATCATTCGCTCTCCTTTTGTGAAGACTTCTTCTGCTGTATCGCCCCACACAATGATGTCATCAATGTACTGCAGGTGCTCAGGAGCACTGCCCTGTTCCAATACAGTTTGGATCAACCCATGGCAAATGGTCGGGCTGTGTTTCCACCCCTGGGGCAAACGGTTCCAGGTATACTGAACGCCCCTCCATGTGAAAGCAAACTGTGGCTTACATTCTTTGGCCAAAGGGATGGAAAAGAAGGCATTAGCAATGTCAATGGTGGCATACCATTTGGCCGCTTTTGACTCCAGTTCATACTGGAGTTCTAACATGTCCGGCACAGCAGCACTCAGTGGGGGTGTGACTTCATTCAGGCCACAGTAGTCCACCGTCAGCCTCCATTCTCCACTGGCTTTACGCACTGGCCATATGGGGCTGTTAAAAGGTGAGTGAGTTTTGCTGATCACTCCCTGGCTCTCTAGTTGACGAATTAACTTATGAATGGGGAGCAAAGAATCCCTGTTGGTGCGGTACTGCCGCCTGTGCACCGTTTTTGTAGCAATCGGTACCTGTTGCTCTTTTACTCGTAGCAGCCCCACAACAGATGGATCTTCTGACAGGCCAGGCAAAACAGACAGCTGCTTAATGTTGTCTATGTCCACAGCAGCTATTCCAAAGGCCCATCGATACCCCTTAGGATCCTTGAAATGCCCCCTTCTGAGATAATCAATACCTAGTATACATGGAGCCCCTGGGCCCATCACAATAGGATGTTTTTGCCAGTCCTTACCAGTGAGGCTTATCTCGGCCTCCAACACAGTCAATTCTTGAGAGCCCCCGGTCACTCCAGAAATATGGATTGATTCTGTCCCTTCATGACTCGAGGGCATCAGAGTGCACTGTGCACCAGTGTCCACCAGGGCCTTATATTTCAGTGGTTCTGATGTGCCAGGCCATCGAATCCACACAGTCCAATATACTCTATTATCCCTTTCCCCCCCCTGACTGAGGGCAGGGCCCCCCTATTCATTATCTGTGGTAACTGGAGCAACTGCACTGGTGGTTGATCTGCCTTGTAATTCTTTCACCCGTGCTCGCAGTACAGCAGTAGGTTCACGGTGCCACTTCCTCATGTCTTCTCCATGGTCACGTAGGTAATACCATAAGACAATTCGTGGTGTATTATCCCTTACTTGAGCTGGAGAGCGTTTGCCTCTAACAGCTGAGATTTTTGATGATGCACGTGAGAAGGAAGGTTCATCGTCTTTAGTTAGGTGGGCTCGCATCATCTCCTTCATCTCCTTGATCTCCTTCATTAAACTCGTTTGATTATCCTGATCTTCATCCAGCGTTTCTGATACTGCTACAGGTTTGTCACGGTTAATCAGTTGAGACACTTGCTCCGTCATTTTTGATATAGCAGCCACGGCAGCATGAATTGGGGACAGCAATTGTTCGTAGTTTTGGAGCGTAAGAATTAATTCATAAACTAAGGGTGTTCTCTGTTGTTCTTGGTATCTGTCACACGCTGACATTAGTGTAGCGGCATATTTGTCCGGTGCTGTTGTCACGATTTTCTGCCATATCTCAGGCGTTGTCCTCACCTTTTCAGGGTCGCGGTTTTGGTGTGGGTGGTTAGGAACAAAGTCAGGGTCATACAGCATTTCCACCACACCTATTTCCCTCAAATACTGGATACCCTTTTCCACTGTATGCCATTTTTTCATTGCAATCTTCAAGCCATTTTTGAAGGGATACTTTTCCTTCAGGCTATTAACACTCGTTCCCAGAGGGAGGCAGCCTCATCCGAACATCGACTAATTCCTCTATCAATAGCTGGATCTCTGGCAATGGCACCTAGTTGGCGAGCTTCGTTACCATCCAGAGACAAGCTATGGGCCCCACTGTCCCAACAGCGAACTAACCAGGAAACAAGACTTTCATTCGGGTGCCGTGTAAACTCCTTTCTTGAACCTTGGATTTCAGTCATCTTTAGAGGCCGGCGAGTAGTAATAGAGACTTCCTCTTCATCACTCTCTTCTGCATGTCTCTTAGTTTTCGCTTTTGCCTTTCGCGATGGTGGTGGTTCTGAGGAGGGCCCCTCGCCTGGATCTTCCTCCTCCTCCTCCTCTTCTTCTCTTTTTCGTTCAAGACGCGAAGACACTCGTTTCCATTTCTTGCCCTCCACAGGAGCAACTGGTATTGTTACTGGTGTCTCCTGTGATTGATTAGATTTGACTTGGGGATTTTCCCCTTTGGCTTGAACCTCAGCTCGGAAACTCTCTCTCTCCAGAATGGTATTATATAGGGCACGGTAAGCACAAGCCAAACCCCAAATAAGTTGTACCTCCTTAGATTTATGTAAGCCGCATAGTCCCTGACTCAAATACTGGCTGAGTTTCTCAGGATCCCACAGGTGTTCAAGAGTAAAATCCCATGACACTGTGGGTCCCCATGCTTCTAAAACCTTTCCTAAACCTCTCCATGTTCCCTGCCAGTCATCATTCTCTAGTTTTGGAGGAGACTCCTTATTACGAATGCTTAGGAATACATTCAGGAGAATTGATGACACGAACAACAACATGAGTATTAATTCAAGATTCGAAAAACGTTTAACAAACTGAAAAGAAAACCCGGAGACTGGTCTGAACATTGTGTTGTTTGTAAAATTAGCTATTACATTTGGGATGTAGCTGTTAGTGAAATTAGCTACTCCATATGGGATGTAGTTGTTTGTGAAATTAGCCATTCCTTCTGGGATGTAGATGTCAAAGTTCAAATCATACCACATTGCAAATAGGTAAAACATAGGTGTCTCCATCAGTGCCCTTAGGTAGCTATATACGGATGCAATTCCAGAACACGTAAGTGTGAGATGGATTATTGGCCAGTAGGTTGTGAGTAACACCATTGCTTTAAATCCTTTACACAGTGCCCCCACGATAACGAGTGGGTTCATCAGTGGTGCCTGCTAAAAAGGGGTTAATGAATTGAAGCTAACAAGAGGAGGGAAAAAAAAAGAAAAAAAAAAAAAGGCACTACCTAGACTAAGTTGTGCTCAAAGTTTACAAATATCCAGAACACTGGCAGTACGCCTAATCTTTCAAGGTCAGGTTTTCCAGCACAGAAACCTGAACTACTGATAATGCTCCCTAACGAAGCTCTCTAAGAGCAGAGAGAAAAATAAAAGATTCGTTCTAAAAGCTAAAAAGCAGCTCGAGCCCCACGTTGGGCGCCAAAAATCTGTCACGGATTTGACCGGATCAATCTATGTCCGTGACAGGGGCGACAGGCCTCTGCCCTCCCCCCCCCCACCCCAGTCCCACAGAAATGGGAAGGAAGGAAGGGAGGAAAAGAGCAGCGGCAACAATCTATGGAGGAAAACTTATTTTACTATAATATTGGAATACAAGATAACAAAATATATACAATTTAATTGAAATTGAGATTAATAAATTAGACAAGATGAGAGAGAGAGTTCCCAGGACCGAGTCAAACCTGAAAAGCTTGGAACGGCCAGGAAAGCACCCTCCAGCACCCACTGCCAGGCAGCAAGAGAGCGCCCCCCCCACCCGGAAGGGCCAGATCCCATGACTGCTGTAATGTACAGGGATAGGAACTTGGAATCGGGGCAGTGACACTTTAATGCCCCATACACTACATGATGTCTTGATGTGGAATACTGAAACCATTAAAAAAAAAAAAAAAAAAAAAAAAAACATAAAACCGTGACATTAAAAACAAAAACATAAAACCATAAAACCATAAAACAAAAACAAAAAAGGCACGTTCAGAGATCATTTATTGTTTCACTGGGGAGTATTTCAGTGTTAGCATAGAATTTAAAATAATACTTGGTAATGAAAGCAGTGTCTTGTGAGAACAACTGTGGTCTAAATACTTGGTGCTTGAGTTGTGTTGCCAACCTCTGTTCTCCTTTGTGCATTAGATACCTACTATTGTGGACTACAAAGAAGTGCTGTCAAACATAGTCTCACTGGAGAGAAGAACTCTTCACCTTTACAGCTTCATTTGTGAGCTGTCTCTCCTAAACACGAGCCTTTTCGGGTACTCCCCAGCTCGGCTGGCTGCTGCAGCACTGCTGCTGGCTAAGATCCTGCATGGCCACGGAGCAGCCCGTTCAGTGGAGCTGCAGCAAAGTGCATCAGGCTGCCTTGTCCCTTCAGGGAGCCTCTGTGGGCAAGGTGCCCCAACCACCCTGGGGAGTGTGGGAGGGGGGAAAGGTGTAATACGTGAGAGTGGAGTTGAGTTTGGTCTGTAGCAATGCAATAACATGAGCCCTGCATTTAAATGAGACTGAAGGGTTTTGCCCTTATCTATGCAGTAGAATTCTACTTAGGTGTAGCTTCCATTTCTCAAGTAAGCCTATCCTAGAAGCAAATTCTGAACTTCAGCTGTGTGCAGGCAAAAGCTCCTAAAGATTGTCACCACACAGGCATGATCTTTACCCCATTAACAACTCTGTCTGACTATAGAACTTGCGAGCTCTGTGAAATGGTAATGCCTGTTCCCTCCTCCAGCACATCCCTGGACCAGCCAGCTGTCTGAGTGCACTGGGTTCTCTCTTGAAGACCTGTTGCCGTGTGTGCTGCGCCTTCACCAAAAATGGTAAAACTTGGGGAACTCTTCTGGGAGTGTTTTTGTATTCTGGCTCTCGTGGCCCTGCTGGAAGTCCTTCCAAAGGGAGGAGGTGGCTTTAGCAAACTGCTTTACTCCCCCTACCCCAGGGCACTGACATCTAGGGGCTGCTTCAGTGACGGCTGTTGCGTTTGTCTTGCCTGGCAGTGGCCCTGGGTTACAGAAGCCCTGGTGCTCCCCAAGCCCAGCGGGTTTCAGCTTGCCAGCATCACTGTTTTCAGGTGATTGTGACCAGCTTTTTGATGAGCTCCAGAAGGAGTTCAGTAACAAAAGTAATTCATTTCTGAAAGGCTGGAAGTCAAATACCTCAAGAAACAGAAAAGGAATTGGATGCTTGCATGCTTAGCAGATCTGCTGAAATGCCAGTTTCCTCGGCACAGAGCTGAGCTGGACAGAGGGAAGGTGCTTACATGGCCAGAATTTGCTAACAATGTTCTATATAATCCATTCTAAGATTAAAGCCCTGGTCTTTCTTTCCAGTTTCCATGATGAGGTCCCTAAGGATTACAGGCAGGTGTTGTCTCACTGCACTTAAAGACAATCTGAAGATGAGCATTATGACAAAATAGGCCAAGATTTGGTGGGTTTGCTGTTGTAGTTCATTTGCTAAAATCTGACTCCTTGAGAAAAATCTCCTGTACGGCAGGGTGTTCAAAACTTCCAGTAATGAGAAATGGGTTTTAACTTCAGGTTTTGGAAGTAGAGAATGGCTGGGTAAGGTTGGGGCTTCTAAATTTCGTCTGCTGGGAATCTAACTGCTGTGGTTGAACAGCAGTTCTAGGAAGGACTCAACAGGATAGCTTTCTCCTGGAAAGAAATAAAGATAAGTAAGGATAAAATAGCTGCTTCCTGGCAGAGGGAATCACATGGTCTAATTCTTAACCCTTTGTTTTTCAGGTGATGAGCTACAGCCAGCTCTGTTCACTGCTGGGTGTGAAGCAGGAGGACCTGAAACCCAGTCCCCTGCACACAAATGTCATAGAAATTAAAGCTTTCTTTAGCTCTCCCTCTGGAAAGAGATCTAAAAGGTGAGTATAACCCATGGCTGTAAAGGTCTGTGAAGACTTGCGTGAGCCTTTCCTCCTCTCTGGCATCCTGAGCTTCCATTCCTTCTGCCATTACCTTGGCCTGACATCTCTGTTAGGAGAGCTGGAGCAGCAGAGTTGGCTTTTAATGTGTGACTTCTGGATGTTCTTGCTACAGGAGGAGGGAAGACAGCACTCAGGATGACAGGGGCAGCTTAGTGACTACACCTACAGCTGAGCTATCCACCCAGGAAGAAAGTCTTCTGGACAGCTTCCTGGACTGGAGTTTAGATTCCTGCTCTGGTTATGAAGGCGATCAGGAAAGCGAAGGCGAGAGAGATGGAGATGGTAAGGCTTTTAGTCTTATAAAAAAAAAACAGATGAGAGAACTCAACATCTGCCTTTTTATCTTTGCATAAAACTCTTTACTGAACTTTCAGGAGAAGAGCAGCTGGGGAAACTCTCTTCCTCCCCCAGCGATTATAATTGTTAAACTCTTTAAGGGTAAATGTTTCTTCTCTGCACTGCTTCAGAACTTATTGAAGGATTTTGCAGCCACTCAGCATTTCACAGGCGGTGTTTTCAGGTACTGCTGCAGCAGTAGGCCAAACTCAATGAATGGGTCGCACTGTAGGCAGTGTTGGAACGCTGTCAGCTGTTGTTTTATTGACGCACAGGCTCTGGCCTTTCATTTTCCAAGTTGGGCAGTACCTCTCCAAACAGGGCGAGAGGGAAATATTAAATTACTTTAATGAGGGTAAGCTCTACCCTTGCCCTCCCCTCTCGACAAGGTTTACACTTGCACTTTTTTTCTCTGCTTGACTGTTAGCTTGGTGTTGCCCAAATTCTGACTGGCCTTTTCCTTCTCTCATCCCTCAGTCACCAGTCCCAGTGGAATCCTGGATGTGACAGTGGTGTACGTGGATCCAGCAGAGCACTGCTGTCAGGACTCCAGTGATGAGGACAGCCTCTCTGTCGAGTGTCCTGGGCACGCAGCACCGCCAAGGAAGGCCAGGACTCCAGATGAAACTCACAGAGTTTTTTCAGCCTGTGTTGCCTCAAGAAATCCCAGCTGTGAAGGGAGCTCAGGCTACTCTTCTGTCAGTGGTGCCAGTCCTACATCTTCCGTGGAAGGCAGCTGCAGAATACCTCTCAAACCCACCTCAGCACTGTCTGTCCATCTCATTAGACTAAGCAACAGCTGCAGAGCCATTCAGTACAGGGGTTCCATGTCACTGTTGAGGTGCTGCTGAAAGAAGAGTCTCATTTCTAGAAGCCAAAGCTTTGGTGGATGATCAATTGTCCGCAAAAGTTTCCAGAATGGGAAGGAAGGGTGTAGGTGAGGAGCTCCTCAGATGTGTGCTTTCCAGACGTCAGTCAGTCAGCAACTGGTGTTCTGCTGTCAGGGTCCCTGTATTGATAGCAGTCAGCATGGAGATGGCTCATGACATTGTAAGGCCATGGTGATGTGACCCTAAAAATGTCCTGTGGTGACCAAAACATGGCTGTGTTGAGCAAGGGGAGGCTATGGCCTGAAAGTTGCCCTACTTGTCAGCACAGGGATTCTGTGGGTCTCCATCTTTGGTCTGGTTCTCTTTACTGTTGATTCTAATAAAGATCTGGAAGTTGTATGAAGTAAATTTGTGAATGATGCTAAGCTGGGAGGAGTGTTGGGTCCTCTGAGGGTAGAGAGACCTTGCACTGAGATCGGGACAAATTTGAGGGTGGTCAGCATCTGCACTAAGAAGAGCAAATGCCAAGTTCTGCAGTGGGGATGGGGCAGCCCTGGCTGTGTGTACAGAATGGGGGGTGAGGGACGGGAGAGCAGCCCTGCAAAAAGGGATCTGTGCATTCCAGTTGGTGGCAACTTGAATCTGAACCTGCAGAAGGGCCAACCGTGCCCTGAGGGGTGTTTGAGTGGCCCTTTGTGGAGCCGGGGGTTGGACTTGATCCTTGTGGATCCCTTCCAACTCGGGATATTGCACAATTCTATGGCTGTTGTAGCTGCGTGGAGGAATTCATAAGCAGCCTGTCCCACAGCCTCTGATTTTCAAGTGACAGGTTGCTTTCATTCTCCTTACCTCAGATTCCTTCTACTTGCCCCTCCGTGGGAACCAGTGGGGGTGGCTCTGGGGGTACCAAACCCACATCCCGTTGGCTGGAGCCATTCCCTTGGCTGCCACAGAACCCAGAACCTTTGGAGGAGGCTCAGTTCTGTGGCTCTGGCACAGCGGGTGGGCTGGGCATCAGTTGGTGGGCAGTGAGCAATTGCACTGTGTGTCACTTGTTTTGTATTTATATGTGTGTGTGTATCATATTGTAATGCTGTAACGGGATGGAAAGTACCATGAAATGAGAACCTCACACAGCTGCATTCAGTCTTAGAGATCCCTGAGCCTGCCGGATGGAAGAGGCAACCTGGGATGAAGGTTTTCTGTTGTTGTTTTAAATTAAAGCCTCTTATCTAATTGCCTTCACGCCGTTATCAGAAGAGCCAGATTACACTGACAACCAGGCAAGCAGCTCCTGGGAAGTTCTATCTGTCCCCTGTGCAACGGTGCTTTCCCCCTCACTTCTCTGTGCTTTTGAGAACAGGTTCCAGATGCTGACTGTGCTGTGGAAGGATGGAACAGATGTGGTTACAGAGCACAGAAAAGAGGCACCTGCGGTGTCAGCTGCATCGCTCAGCACCGCCTGCACAGCTGACTTCTGCTGATCCTCTGCTTCTTGGTCTCTGCAAAAGCATCTCTGTGACGGTGCTTACCAGTGCTTCTACAGAACAACTCTTACCTTGCTCTGGGGGCTCAGCACCCCGACATGGCTGCAGGTGCAGCTCTGCTCAATTCACATGAGCACCTGGAGCTACTTTTTAAAACAGCATTAATTTCTGATCACAGCTCTGTAATTCTGATGGTTGTTGCCTAGGGAACAGTGATCACAATCTGATGACATTCAGTTTAGGAGGAGAATATCTGGTAAACCAAAATACAAAGTGCTTCACCAAGTCAAAGCCCGTCCAAGAGAAACCACGAGGAAAGTGATGGAAAAGGGTGGGAGGAAAAGGAGAATCCTTGAAGATTTCAAGAGCCTCCGATCTGGCATCACAGCAAAGCCTGCCCTAACGCAGTGTCACACTGAAAACAACCAATGGCCCCGGGCGCTGCCCTGCCTGCCTGCGCTGCATCCCCCTGCCGCCCTTCCTGAGCACAGCTCTGGCACAGTCCCTGCCCACTCATTCCTACCCTTACTTCCGAACTGCTGAGCGTATCGAGCCGTGCTGCTGACCCACCCGTCACCCCACTGACAGCACTCCCGTCCCTGCCTGCTGCAGAGGGCTCCCAGCCCTCTCCTTCCTTCTGGCAGATTTGCAAACACCAGCTTTCAGTTTGGTGCTGTAACCAAATAGCGCTCAAAATAACTTTTCATCTGCATGAATGTGGTTTTTCAGCTTGCCGAGGGCTTTGCATCTTGCTGCTTTTCCTGTTTGTGAAAGAAGCCGCTGGTTTTGAAGGACTTAATTTGGATTATTTTGTGTTTGGTGAGCTCGCCTTGCTGCCAGGCCATCCCCAGCAGGCTCTCTCACCACAGCACTGCATTGGAACCTCATGGTTGCTGACATGCTGCACGCTGGCTAGGAGATACCCACCATCGTTTGCAAGAATTTCATTTCCACTTCTCCCTGCAGGTTTCTCTATTTTGTGTATTCCTTCTGGCAAGGGTAGCTGAGCCTGCTGAGGGCTCCTGCACCCATTTTGCAGCCTGGTATCCCATGTCCTCCGCATGAGGTCCTGTGTGGTGTAGGGAGCTGAGCCCAGAGCCAGGCCCACCTGCCTGTGGCCAGCGAGGATTTGGGTATCTGTGTGCATGCATGCATTTCCAGTGCAACTGCTGGTAAGATCCCAGTGGTTGGGCAAGGGGTTTAGGATCCTGTGTGCCCCTGCCACAAGGGCCATGTGAGAGCTGGGCTCGTGTCCTGCTAGCTCCATGGGCTCTCCAGGGTCTGCTGCTCATTTCAAGGCCCAGCAGCAAGTGCCACTGCACAGAGATGTTCTTCAGCAGATGAGGAATGCAGTGGCACTTGCATCTGGCACTTCCATCTCCTTGGAGGTGGTGCTCAGGAGTAACAAACACAGGCTCTGAATTGCACCAGCCAGTGCTGCAGCAAAGTCGACGAGCTGGAAGAGAGCAGGACAAGGGGAAGTGAACTCAGCAGAAGTCAGCTCTATTCGCCTGTGACCCATTGCTCACAGTCTGTGGTCACCCAGGGCAGCGGTGCTGGCAGTTTCCACTCTGCGGTGCCAGGCGAGCACTGAGACGTGGCTGGTTTGGTTCCTGGAAGCTAACAAAGTTCCTGGGGAGATGCTGAGCACAACTGTGCCCGGCACAGACCTCAGCCCCCAGCCAACCAGCCCAGGGCCCATCTCAGGGCTCAGGATGTGCAGCCTGGCACTGCTGGCATGAAACGTGCTGCTGCATCGAGGCCATCGGCTTGGGAACAAGCAGGCACAGGAATGTGGTGGTAAGCAGCGATGTGAGGGGAGAGGGGCAGCCACAGGAGCAGGGCTGTGTGCTCCATGGGGTCAGTCCTCATCCGCGATGAGCGTGGTGTCACCAGAGGGGACACCCACAAATGAGGACTGTCAGCTCCCCGTCAGGGTGAGGGGGACAGGGCTGTCACTGCTGTTATCTCCTGTCTCCTGCTCCTGCCCCGCTGCCCTGGCACATCTCAGGGTGTGAGGTGAGTCACCGCGTGTCGCCCTGTCTCATTGCGACATCCCTCATCTTCTGTTCCAGGAGCAACGAGGAGCCTGTAAATACTTTCTTTGGCAAGCCTTATGTTCTGATCTAATCGCTCCACTTCCTTCAAAGCCAGGCGCAGCGAGGAGCTGAATGAGGCAATAGGGCAGGTCACGGGGAAGCTGTAATTGGGAAGGATCAGCCCAAGCTGGAGTTGGGGTGTGGATGCAGCAGGGTGGCTCAGCACTCAGGAATGGCTTTTAAAATCACCGATGCCCCAGATACTGCCCAGGACTGTGGTCACACTGCCCAGCACCGGGGCACAGAGAGCCTCTCCCATTCCTATTATGTTTGTAGAAGGCTGCAAGCACTGTGGCTGTAACGTGGTCGCAAGCAATGGGGAAATTCAACCAGCAAAGCATGCTGTGCTCAAGAGAAGGCACCTCCATCTTCACCCCGCACTGTTCAACGTGCTCCAACGCATGTGTGTGTGCACAGAGCTGGCAGAGCTCCTCCTGCACACGAGCCCTGCAGAGAGCTTTGCTAGGCAGACGGGAGCATTGCTGTGTTGCTGCATGGGGTGATGCCCCACTCATGCCTATGGCACAGCATCGCTTTCTGCACACACCTGCTGCCAGGGCCGGCAGCACAGACTGCTCCCAGCACTCAGCCTTCCTCCCTTTGCTGTAGGGCCGTGCCAGCATCTCCCCCCACAGCCCTCCAGAGCTGTGGCTCTGCTCTGGGACCCCGGTGCTGGTTGTGGCGATGGAGTCACGGCTATTTTTAAAGCTGATATTGCGGTTTTCCTTTCTCCCTTAGTGAGAAAGCTTCACCCCTGCCCCGGTTTTGTCTCTTCCTCTATTTCCTGCAGGCAGGCAGGGCCGCTCACAAGAACCACCCCCATCTGAAAGCACCGCAGCGGGGGCGATTCCCGAAGGCGTTCAGCTCTGAGCAGCCGCCGCAGGGACGGATCTGAACGGCGAGCGGCACGAATCGCTTCTCCGCTAAGCGGGGAAGGGCGACAGACCGGGGCCGGCCGCGCTCTACGGGCGTCCGCGGTGCCACCGAGCAGCCAAGGGCGGCCCGGCACCGCGCTCGGCCCGACGCCCGCCCCGCACCGCCCGCACGCGCACGCGCAGCCGCTCCCCCCCCCCTGCGGTGCCGCGCGTGCGCGGGGCGGTGCCCGGGATGGCGGCGGGGCCGGCGGGGCGCTGAGGCCGGAGCCGCCCGCTCGGCGGGGGCCGGTGAGTGCGGGGCCGGGATGCGGGGAACGGGCGCCGGGTCGGGTCGGACCGAGCGGACCCCGCGCCGCCGCTTCCGCGCCGCGTCCGAGCCCGCAGCGCTCCGCGGCCCGGCTTCGGGCGGAGCTCGGCCTTCCGGGGAGGCGGCGCTCGGTACCGGGCGGCTCCCGGAGCCGCGTCCCGCATCGCCCGAGTGCGGTCGGCTCCGGCGGGGGGGCCGAGCGGTGCGGGATCCGAGCGCGGGGTTCGGCCGTGCGAAGCTGCCGCGCCGCCCATCGCGCACCGCCGTCCGGCCGCTCCGGCTGCGCTGCCCCGGCGGTGCGGTGCGGTGCGCTCCCGGCTGTGCGCCGCGCTCCATGGCCGCGCTGCAGGCCGCCCGCTGGCTCAGCGCTGCGTGGCTCGCCGCGTCTCCTTCAGCGGTCGGGGCTGAGGCTGCCGCGGCCCTGCGCTGCTGTGCCGGGAGCCGCTCGGTGCTCCCCGCTGAGCCTCTCCCTTCCTGCATCACCTCCGGCTCCGGGCAGACCTCGCTGGGGACGCGGCCGCTGCCGCCCGTCTTCCGTGGATGCTCCCTCCCCGAGCCGGGGGAAGGTTAAAAAAAGCCGCGTCTGCCATTTCCAGGCTGAGTTTCTATGGTGACGGTGCGTCGGAGGAGCAAAA